TTGACGTCCATTTGGAAAACCTCAAAGTTCTTGTGAGCAGCATAAGCCAGAAATATTCTAACAGATTCTAGCCGAGCTACTGGAGCGAAAGTCTCTTCATAGTCTATCCCTTCCTCCTGACAGTATCCCTTTACCACCAGACGAGCCTTGTTCCGTATAACATTACCTTCCTTGTCCATTTTGTTCCTAAATACCCATTTGAGACCAACAACCGAAGCATCTGGAGGAGTTGGAATGAGGCGCCAGACTTTGTTCCTTTCAAATTCGTTCAGCTCGTCTTGCATTGCTTGAACCCAATCAGAGTGATCGAGGGCAGTATTAACTGTCTTTGGTTCAACTTTTGATACGAATGAGTTGAACATGCAAAACTCAACCTTTGAAAATAAGGAAGTCTGTTTTGCTTTCAGTTGTGATCGGGTCAAGACCTTTTCAGAGACATCTCCAACTACTTGAGAGACAGGATGATCTCTGGTCCATTTGATAAGAGGAGGGTAATTTGGATCAAAGGTTGGGTCTAGTTCAGCATTAATTATTTCGTCTGGCTCAGATTGGCTATCGTAACCGAGTGTCATATCATTATGTTCCCCCTCAGTTGATGAGCTTTGAAAGACATGAGGTTCAGGTGTTTCGTGTGATTCTGAGCTTTCTGGTGTTGAGACCTCTTTGGTTGAAGTTGTAGAACTTGGCTCCCCTGGACTTGAGCGCTTGGCTCCCCCTCGACTTGAGCACTTGGCTCCCCTCGACTTGAGCGTCGTTGGAAGGAGAGTCGTTAGAGATTGATGCTTCTTCATGCATTCTCCTTGCAGCGTCTTCGACAATCTGCTCCATGTGATCAACTTTGTTGTCTGCTGCACCTGCTTCGGAAAGTGAAGCGTTCTCCGGTTCGTCAAAGATGTCCATTAATGTCTCGAATAAGTTGGCGACCGAGACTGTAACCTGGCCATTTAGAGGAAAGATTTCCCCAGTGATGTCTTCTTTAGCCTGTAGCTTCTTGACATAGTTGTCGTCAAAGGTCACATAGTATGTCTCTTCAATCTTTCTCGAACGCTTGTTTAGGACCCTGTATGCCTTGGATGTGAGCGAGTAACCCAGAAATATTCCCTCGTCGGCTTTGACATCAAACTTGTTGCGTTGTTCTTTAGAATTAAAGATGAAACACCTTGAGCCGAACACATGGAAAAATTTCACATTTGGCTTTCTGTTGTTCAGTATCTCATATGGAGTGAGCGTGAACCTCTTGTTGAGATATGACCTGTTCTGTGTAAAACAAGCAGCCGAAATAGCGTCAGCCCAAAAATAAAGAGGTAAGGAAGCGAAACTTAGCATAGTTCGGGCAGCTTCACACAAAGATCGGTTTCGTCTTTCGACTATTCCGTTCTGTTGCGGTGTGTAGGGAGCTGAGAAATTATGACTAATTCCCTTTTCTGCAAGAAATTCTTCAAACTCCCTGTTCTTGAATTCGAGACCATTGTCGCTTCTGATGTTACGAACAACCTTCTTAATGTGTACTTCAATTTGCTTGATAAACACTTTCAGCTTTTGAGTCGCTTCAGATTTGAGCTTTAGAAAGAACACCCATGTAAATCGTGAAAAGTCATCAACAATAACAAGAATATACTTGCTACCACCGATGCTTTCGATAGATGAAGGACCACACAAATCGATATGAAGTAATTCGAGTGGTTCAACAACTTTTGTGTTGATTATAGATGGATGACTTTGACGACTCTGCTTCCCCATTTCGCATGCAGCGCACAGATGATCCCTGTCGAACTTGAGCAATGGAAGGCCCCTAACATGACCTCCAGTAACAAGACGGTTGATATCTTTAAAATTAAGATGAGATAATCTTCGGTGCCACAACCAACTTTCGTCGGATTGAGCTTTTGACAACAAGCATATAGCTGGGTTTCCTTTGATGGGTTTAAGGTTTAAGGGAAACATTTCACCCTTTCGCTCTGACTTGAGAATCACTTTCTTTGACTTTTTCTCTATGATTTCAGAACCTTCATCATCGAACGAGACTTTGAGACCTGTACCTCCAACAAGCTGAGATACACTAATGAGGTTGTGTTGGAGTCCTTCCACATAAGCCACCTTCCTTATAGTAAAGTCTCCATTTGTTATCATCCCGTATCCCTTTATGGTGCCAAAAGAATTGTTTCCAAACTTGACGTTGCCACCATTTGCAAGAGATCTGTATTCCCTAAGCTCCTCTTTCCTCCCTGTCATGTGACGTGAGCAGCCACTATCGATGTACCATTCTTCGTCGAACTGCTCGTCACTTATAACCTGCAAAAATTAGACAGATTTAGGAACCCAAAATTTCTTGGGTCCACGTGAGCTTTGCATGGGAACGGGAACAATAAGAGAGACATCAACAAGATAAGTTCGTTTTATAAGAGTTGTTGCATCTTTCCTTTTAATGGTAAAAACTTTTATTTTGTTAGGATTGGGTGAATTAGGTTTGGATTCTGGTTGGGATTCATTGACCTTTTTCTTCCACTTTTGCTCAGTTGACGAATGAGATTTTTGAAAACGAGATCAGCTTTAGAGTAAGATGGAGACGAATCGGTGGGAGTAGAAGAATTATGAGACCGAGAAGAGGAATTAGAAGAACGAGAAGAATTTGAACAAGAGGGTTTGGATTGAGAGAAGTTCCGGGCTTGAGACTCTAGGTGACCCTTTTGCTTTTGATCATTGGAGGGAATGACCTTAGAGTTTTGTTCTCTTTTGACTTCAGAACCGAACCTTTGCGTTCGGTTGGAACTGTCTTTGGAACCGAACCTTTGGTTTCGGTTGAAGTCCTTTTCAGAACCGAACTTTTGCCTTCGGTTGATATCTTCTTGTGAACCGAACCTTGGCTTTCGGTTGATATCTTCTTGTGAACCGAACCTTGGCTTTTGGTTTTTGTGACTTTCAAGCTTTCCTACAGGATTGTTTTCATACTTTAGATTCTTGTCTTGATGAGAGAAATATGCATTCTGGGAATGCCAGAATTGTTTCCTTTCAGAAAGGTTCTTCCTGTATCTATTGTTCCTTTCTATCTTCCTATTCCTCATCTGAGAAGGTTGATGATGAACATTTGCTTTCGTTTTTGGTGACTCCTTGGCTGGTTCCTTTTGAACTGCAGGAGTTTTACTTTGAGCCGAAGGAGCCGAGGGAATGTCTTCTTTTGCCGAGTGATCATTCTTCTGAGGAATATCTTTTGTACCACTGGTGCTCGGCTCATCGAAGTTGTTCGGCTTATTCAAGGGTTCAGGTATGTATCTTCCTTTGCTCTTCCAGGAAGTTCTTTCAGATAAACCAATGGTTTCGTCTGCATTATCAATTGGAGCTTCCCAGAAGTACTCATCACAGCCATCAGCATTGTCTTCGTTTACAATGGCTACAAGTTCAGCTGTTTGATGTTCGGTTACTCCTGTTACCTTGTATACTTGATTTGGAGTGGTCCTGACCTTTTGATACACAACAGCTTTCTCAACTAATTTTGGGGACTTTTGATGGGACAACCGAGCGAACTCCACTGAATTTTCAGAAATTAGATTCTTGTGATTTTCAGGCTCGGTTTTAATAAATTCTGAGCAGTCAACCGTGTCCTCTACAGAAATTTCGCTCATGTTATCGTCCTCGTTAAGCTCAGATGCATTTTCAACATCAATTTTGTTTTCTGAGCTTACGTTGGCGTTCAAAGAGTCAAATTTTTGCATGGTTTCGGTTCTCAGTTTAAGTCTGTCATTTTCATCCAAAAGATTTTTAAGCATGTTCTTGTGGTCTTTGGATTTAATGAAGGACTCAATTTTGTCCAGTCCATACATGTAGGTTGGATTGACATCATCAGACGATATCACACTCTCACAATTATAGGCTTCGGCATCGATTTCATCTTCCTTTAACCGAACCCTGCACAATAAGAGCATTAATAGAAGGGTTAACGACAGACTTCTTCTTTCTCAACTCATCTAGTCTTTTCTGCAACACGGCTTCCTCGTCATTCCCATCATCTTTTTCAGCCATCTTCTTAAGGACACAGTCCTTAGCATAGTGATTCTTCCCACCACAGTAGAAACAGCTTACTCCAGAATCGCCATCCACCTTCGGTTCCTTTTTGGGCTCCTCAGATTTCGGTTCATTAATCACTTTTTCAGAGCTGTAACTCCCCTGCCAGCTTCGGTTTTTGTTGCTGGGGAATCTCTTCTTTATGAACCTCTTGGGATTGGACACCATCATGGCATAATCCTCAGACGTGAGATCATATTCCTCCAGGTTGAGATCTTCATCCTCCATCGCAGCTTTACTTTTAGATAGGAGGGCCAACGAACCGAGACTGGAAACGACGTTCTTTTCTTGCAGCACAATCTTCTCTTGGGACTTGAGAATACCCCAGTTTCGCCAAAGAGTATGATTTAAACTGCTCATGGGCTTTAACTGTGGAAACCACTGCTCTCCATTCAGACCTCAGACCATTCAGGAATGTAACCTTCTGTTCGATAAGCTTCCTTTCAATATCGTGTTTGATCATCTTGCTGAGAAGATGATTGAAGCGATCGAACGTCTGGGTCACAGTTTCTTCAACCCCTTGCCTGAATTCTCCAAACTCAGATAGGAGCAAAGTTTGAATAGAATGTTCAAGATCCTCGTCTGTAGAATACAGTTCGCGAAGTCTATCCCAAACATCCTTTGCCGTCGTGCATGAGCTAACCAATCTGAATGTATCGGACTGAAGGGCGAACCTGATCAACCTTAATGCCTTGATATTGCACTGGAACTTATCCTTTTCATCTTGTGCAATATCTTTCACGTCCTTTAGCAGATCATTGTACTCTTTTTGTGTCTTGATGATTCTGGACGTTGCAGAATGAGAAAATGGTCCATTGGTGATGGCTTCCCAAATGAGATACCCATTATCCTCCAATCCA